AAAATATACATACATATGTACATTTAAAAATAAATCGTTCTTGTTTTGAGTGTCGTATCTGACGCCCGCTTCAGACAAAACCCATAGACTAAAAAAGGCTACCGAAAAAGCTCGGTGCCTCAACATTTTGGTGAACACCCGACGTGACTTACATTAAAAAATCGGTGACCCTGAAAAGCCATAATTTGTGGCTCAAAACGATATATATTTGGTGTACTATTTAAGGTGTGCAAAGTTAGTATGCATACATACATACATACCGCTGCAGCATCAGTGCACGTATGTGTATATATAATTGACTGTACAAAGCGCATAGTTTTTGTACATATAAGCCGCAAGCAAGCGTCGTTGCTTTGTGCGGTCATTCGCCGGTGTTTGGCGCGAGTGACAATTTTCGGTGCCGAACATTTGAAGTGCATTATCGCGTGTTGTTGTTGCTGCCGTTGCCAAACCGAGACTTGTGTTTTCGTTGTGCATTACATTTCATTCGTATTAGAGTACTGCACAAATAATGGATGGTGATGATTCATCTGTACCGCCATGTGAGCGTCAGATTGAACGTGGGCCCACTGCCGTGGCTGCGCCTGGAAATCGGGTAGTATTTTTCAAGCGCAAATGTGAATATCTTTGTGAAAGTCTCAAGGTAATGGAATGCGAATTAAAAGATGACAAAATTGGTTTGTTGAGAGAAGATGAGTTGCTCTGTCTTGTAAAACTGCTTGAGGATAAGAAGATTAATTTTAACTGCGCGCTCAGTAGTTTGAAGGAGTTCGACTGTGGTGACGCTAGCTTCATCCTACATGAGGAGTTCGGTCAAAAATCCGCGTTTGTAGCTGCCAAGCTGGAAATAGAGTTACGGAAGCGCCTCCGAAACACAGCGTTGAGTTGCTAGGCGGCTCGTACCAGCAGGCACGCCTCCGTTTTCTAAATTTGGAGTGAAAATTGGAGCGCAGCCCTTCATAAAGGAGTACACGGATTTGATTCACATGTCTCTTGTCAGTACTGACTCAAATACTATCTACCGCATCATTGCGTCCTAAAGGAGGATAGTACAACTACGAAGCTCAGAGTTGTGTTTGATGGATCTGCGGCAACAACTTGTGGCTACTCATTGAACGAAGTTTTGATGGCAGGTCCCACCATTCAAAGCAAGCTCTTCAACACATTGCTACGGTTTCGTTCGTTTGCAATTGCATTCACAGACGATGTATCCAAGATGTATCGCTGTGTACGGGTGGCAGAGCCCGACACTTTCATGCAATGTATTCATTACTAGAGGCAGTTCAGTTCCAGAGGTGATGGAGATCATGCATCAGAATACTAGTCTTCTGTCGACGGGCAGTTTCAAATTGCGAAAATGGTGCTCAAGCAACTCTGCAGTACTGCAAGGCGTCCCTGATGCAGATAAGGAATCGCTGCTAAAATTTGATGATGGTAGCGACATCACCAAAACATTGGACTTGGTCTGGGATCCGGCTTCCGATCAGTTTTTGTTTTCGCTCGCACTGTTAGAGCTGCCTTCTAAGCTTACCAAGCGTTCTGTCTTGTCAGTTATCGCACGTTTTTACGACCCCCTTGGTCTTGCTTGTCCTGTAATAACCAAATCTAAAATCTTTATGCAGGATCTCTGGAAGGCGAAGCTGGAGTGGGATGAGAGTCTTCCGGCGGCGTTAGCAACCACTTGGATTGGTTTCTGCTCAAATTTTGAACGTGTGCCAAAGCTAACTTTTCTACGGCTGGTGCTCATTCCTAACGCAACTATTGAAGTCCATGGCTTCAGCGATGCCGGCATGAGCGCTTATGGACCTTGCGTCTACATAGTCTCTAAAGCTCAGGGAAAAACGACGGTGCAACTTCTTTGCGCTAAATCGCGTGTGGCACCTTTAAAGACGACCACAGTACCCAAGTTGGAACTCTGCGGTGCTGCATTACTGGCGCAGGTTATGCATAAAGTGGCCAAGATGAAGATATTCTGTGGCCCATGCTATTGCTATTCTGACTCATCCGTCGTTGGCTTCGCAGCGATTCTTCGAGCTTCAAGATATTCGTCTCCAATCGTGTAGCCACAATTCAGGAGCTGACATCTGGAATGGAGTGGAAATACGTGCCAACGAATTTAAATCCGGCAGACATTTTATCTAGAGGGGCTCTGCCCGGTGAACTTTTGGAATCTTCGTTGTGGGCTCATGGACCCAAATTTCTTACAGAAAGCAAAAGCAAATGGCCTGAATCCTGCTTGTCTGTACAGTCGCTGCCTGAACTTCGTCAAAAGGTGCTGCTTGGAGCGGCATGCTACACAGATGCTTCGGCGTAAACTCTTTCTACAAGTTACAAAGGGTTTTTGGTTTCGTCTACAAATTTATTCATCGTATCCGGTGCTCTGGCCCAACACTGGCTTGCTTACATCATGGAACTCACATTCTGCTACGTTCCATTCAACTATCAACGCTTTTCGAGGACTACAAGGCGCTTCGGGCGGTACAGCGAGTGAAACCCTCCAGTTCCCTGGCCTCGCTCGCGCCATTTATTAATCCAACCTCATCATCATTGCTTCGCGTAGGCGGACGGCTGAAGAATTCTGCGTTGAATTTCGCAGCCAAGCATCCAGAAATTTTACCCAGGCAGCATCCTGTGACAAGAGCGCTTATTTATCATCACCACATTCGCAGCTTACATGCTAGGCCACGTGCGTTGTTGGCCTCGATTCGTCTACAATACTGGCCCATAGGCGGCCGAATGACGGTTTCAGCTGCTGTCAGCAAGTGCACAATATGCTTCAGAGCCAAGTCGCGCTAGGTTGAGCATCTGATGGCCGACTTGCCTGGCTTGCCTGGCTTGTTCCTAAATGCTGAGCATGTACAGGCGGTGCAAGAGTTTTGCTTAGCAGAGTCGATTGACTGGCGATTTATACCTCCTCGTTCACCACACTTTGGCGGACTTTTGGAAGCGGCGGTAAAGACGGCACCTTGGTTTGCCAGATCGGCGCTATAATTAATTCTCGACCATTACTTCCACTTTCAGAGCATCATTCAGACCTTGACGTGCTGACTCCAGCTCACTTCCTGGGTACGGCGCTGCTTACATGATATATTGAGCCTGATGTTACCAAGCTCAATTACGATCGTTTGGGCCGTTGGCAACGAGTCACCTATCTGCAACAGCTGTTCTAGAATCGTGGGCGCGAAGAGTACCTCACTTTACTGCAAGAACGTTCAAAAAGGCGTACTCCATGCCCTGGAGTCGCTGTCAACGACGTGGTTCTCGTCAAGGATGAAAACTTGCCTCCTCTAAAGTGGCCATTGGCAAGAGTCATCGAGCTGATCTCTGGAGCTGACGGTGTTTCGAGGGTCGCGGTGCTGCAGACTCCCTCTGGAATCATTAGACGAGCGGTGCGCAAATTGTGTGCACTGCCAAAAGAGGATGAGGTTGGAAGCCCGTGCCTTCCAACGGGGGGAGGATGTTTGGTCAAGCAGCAGGCGCAGTCGTCCGCAGCAGACGCATAATTATTCTTATATACAAATTGTACCTTGCTCTGCGAAGCGAGAAGCGCTAAACGTTTAATAACTCTTATAAAGTTTGCTTTGATCGCGCTCAATATTTGCTCTCTTTGTACATTTCCTTTTGTTATCATTTTCTTAGTCTCTGCAGCTGCCAGTGCAGCTGCAATCGAAGTTAGTTGACCTAGATTCGCCGTGCCAATCCAACGCTTCTCGCTGTGCTGTTGTACGAGACAACGCACTTCTACTTTTGCGCATATTGTTTAAAGGCTCAACTATTTGAGTTGGTGGCCTCTTAAATTCGTGTATATCAATTCGGTTTATTGACAAACATAATTGGCCCTGCGCGGCAAAATATACATACATATGTACATTTAAAAATAAATCGTTCTTGTTTTAAGTGTCGTATCTGACGCCCGCTTCAGATAAAACCCATAGTCTAAAAAAGGCTACCGAAAAAGCTCGGTGCCTCAACAGTACTTTATGTCCTAAATCTTGAATCGTACCAAAGTAATTTGGTATTTGGGAAATGGGTTTGCGCGAGCTGAAAAATGTAACAGAAGAATGCGTGGCAGACCCCACAAAGTATATATATTTTTGATCAGCATGATAAGACGAGTCAATCTAGCCCTGTCTGCGTGTCTGCCTGTCCGTCTGTCCGTATGAACACTTGGATCTCAGAGGCTATAAGAGCTAGAGTCACCAAATGTTGCACAAAGATGACTTATGTGTGTACACTATACGAGTTTGTTTTATTTTTTGATTCCCCCTCTTCCCCCTATGGGGGTTTTCCCGATTTTCCATTCGTATAATCGCCTATATCTCAGACACTATAAGAGCCAAATTTTAGTCACAGATGGCTTATGTGAATACGAAGAAAATGTGTAATTTGGAACTTTCATCCCTGTCCCTTCTCCAACACAATCATTGATTATCCATAACTCCCGTAATTCTTGGAATTTCGGACTAAAATTTTGCAAATACCCCCAGTTAGTGTATGCCATGTTTCATTATGATAGACCGATTTTACAAGAAGTTATAGTCATAAATATATTTGCTGCTCAAGCGCTGCCTAAGCGCTGCCTGCAGCTGTTGTTGATACTGGTGCTTTGGTTGACTGCAAACATGCTTGCACGCGCATAGACATACATACTCTCACATAGACCCAATTGTTATGTAGTAAATGCGCAATAATACACCCTTTACGTGAGTTCGAAGAGGTAAAATCGATTAATTTTTTTTTTATTTTTTTAATTTCTGTAATTATTCTTAACATATGTACAGAGTATTTCAAAGTCGGAACACCGGACTTTAGCTTTTTTATTTGTTATTCTATGCATACGTACAGAGTATTTCAACATCAGGACACCCAACTTTAGCTTCTCTACTTGCTTTATTTTTAAAAACAATTAACTTTAAAAAAAATTTAAGAATTATGTTTTTGTGGGAGTATGTATGAGATATTCACTCAACTCTAGCACTCCATTCTTGATTTAATTTCAGATGGCACACAAAACGTACAAACAACAACGAGTCTGTAGAACATATGCTGATTACTGGTCGTGCAAAAATAAAAGACGGAACCTTTGTAATATCAGTTGTAGAAAATAGTGATAATGGAATATTTTACTGTACTTCTTCAAATACGGAGGGAAGTGAGACTCTGGCGGTGCATCTTTCGGTTACATCACCACTGTCTGCAAGTATTCATCCTTCACGGCAGACAATTAACCTTGGTCAGATAGTTGATTTAGTGAGTTATTCCTGATAGTTGAATTAATGGAAAACGGTAAGTAATCTTTGGGGTATTTTCTTAGATTTGCACTATTTCTGGCTATCCGAAGCAAAGTATTGTTTGGTTGAAAGATGGTAAAACCCTTCGCGCTGGAGCACGAGTGCGCCTCATGTCAAAAGAACATATTCGAATTACGTCGATTGTTAAGGAAGATAGGGGAATGTACCAATGTGTTGTCAAGAATGATTTGGAGTCCATACAAAGCTCAGCGGAATTGCGTTTGGGAGGTGAGGTTTACTTAAGAATCCGTGTTATATATCGCAATTTTAAAATTTCACATTTTACAGAAGTTGCCCCTCAACTACTATACAAATTTATAGAACAAACAATGCAGCCGGGACCATCTGTTTCATTAAAATGCAGTGCTAGTGGCAATCCTACACCAAAAATTATATGGTTGCTGGATGGCTTCCCACTATCGAACGTAAGTTTTAGAACTCCATCCAAATTTTTTAATGATCTAAATATTAAAATACATTTATTCAAAATCTGTATATCTGAAATGTGCTTTTGGGAAGTTATTAAGTTGTTAACAAGTTTCCGTTCTTCGGTTTTATTTGTATTGCTATCTCAGAACGATCGTCTCTTGATTGGCCAATATGTGACCACATTCAATGACGTTATAAGTCATGTAAATATATCGGCTGTTAAATCGGAGGACGGAGGAGTTTATGAATGTAAAGCAGTTTCACGGGCTGGTGAAGTCACTCATGCGGCTCGACTTAATATATATGGTAAAAAATTTGCATAATATACAAATTAATGGTAAACAAACACAAATTATTATTTGATGCATTAGGTATGCCTTACATTCGCCATATGGAAAAAATGTTTGCGGTAGCTGGAAAAACATTTGTTTTAAAATGCCCTATTTCTGGCTTTCCTATAGAAAACATTACTATTGAAAAAGGTATGAATATTTTACTCAAAAATCCTTCTCGCTAACTTAATAAATATATACTTATTCTATTAGATGGCTTAAGTCTTCCCGTAAATATTAGACAACGAGTGGAAAATGGAACACTAACCATTGAAAACATGCAGCGAACCACCGATCAAGGCACATATACCTGTATAGCTCGGAATAAGCATAACTATACTTCTCAACGATCCGTTGAAGTCAAAGTGTTAGGTAAGTGTAATTTGATGACTAGTTTTGTTGGGCCTAGAATTTCTTAATATATTCAGAAATAGCAAGGGACGTAAATAAAAATAATATTTCTATAAAAGGTTCTTATTTAGTACAAGCTCGATAATGGCCAAAGCCATGTTATCAATTTGCCAACGTTGAGTATCCATTTCGTCGTGATTTGTTGTTTTTTTCCCTCCACAGGATAATGCGCAACATCTCAATATAATATATTAATACAAGTACAAATATAAATTTGTTCTCAATATTTAAATATTCATTTTAAAATAATAGTTATGTGTGTCCAGCAGGAAACAATTTATTTATTTAACTGACGGTGTTAAATATTAACTTAACGGTAACATAATATTTTGCATTATCGATATCTTATTCGTACCGTTCTATGCGATGAAAAAGGTCATTGGTCATCTTTTTTTGTACATTTTGAATATACAATTTTTAATTTAAAATATATTAAAGCTTTAATAAAAAAATAATACATGTTATATATAACTCTATGTACATATTCTTTTCTGTACATAACATTTGCACGCATGCAAAATGCGGATATGTATGATTGTGTTCCTGAACTGGAGGAATCAAAACAAAATCAGTATATGGCAGTTGTGCCTTTAAAGAAAAGTTGTTTTGTATGAAAATAAGCTTAAATTAGTATGAAATTTGAAATCAAATTCCCAAGAATTACTGGAGTCACAACAAAGAGTCTTTAGCAGGAGCATCACATTGAAAGCTAAAAGTGCCTTTCCTTTTGTTGACGCCAAAAGCTGATATAATTTAAATTCACATTAATTCCTCATGGCCGGGAGAATATTTATGTAAAGAAGATGCCTTGCGGTAATTATTAATAGTATTGTAAACAGATTTGAATTACTTAACCGATATTTCATTGTTTATGTAAATAGCTGACTGATAAGAAACCCACGAATGTAATTGAAATGTAACAGATATCGATGTATTGGAGTTGTATCGATTGTGTACATAAAAGACACACGCCCACACCTAGGCTAATACAGAATATTAACCGAAAAGGGTCGCGAGTCTAGTTTTTATACTCTGTACATGAAATGTACAAGAGTATATTAGGTTTACGGGACACTCCCGTAAAGGGTGTATGATTGCACATTTACATAGCAATTGCGTCTGTGTGAGTGTAGGTATGCCTATGCGCATCAATTCGTGTCTGTGTAAGCATGTTTGCAGTCAACCAAAGCAACCACTGCAGACAGCGCTATAACTTCTTATTAAATCGGTATACCATAGCAAAACTTGGCATTCGGACACATAATCACTAACTGGGGGTATTTGCAAAATTTGAGGTCGAAATTCCAAGTTAGTTAGTTAGAGAAACGATTTGCGGGGGGAAGGGGGAGGGAGGGAAATTCTGCGTATTCGTTCTGAGCCATCGGCCATCGACACCAGTACATCTACACTCCGCACATTTTTGTCTTCTGGATCTCTTAAGAGTCGTGCCAGGGCTACGCTTGCGAAGGTGCAAGTGGCTTCGGTGTCCACCAACGCGTCGCTAGCGTGCGTTCTGCCGCTAGTTTTCCTGCGCGTTCGGCGGTACTCTAAGTCTACCGCAGTCCCAACAGTTGAAGCTCTGGGGATTGTGGCAGCTTCCTGCGTCATGCCCCGCCATCCCGCACTGCCTGCAGGACAGTCCTTGGCAAGCAAGGGGGCTCTGCGATTCGGGACCTGCAGCTGCTACCTGTGCTAGTGCCGACGGTGTTACCTGTAAATAAACGGATGTAGGCCTCTCATTTTCGGCATAGTTCCGCGCTATGCCCAGCTCCTCCAGCTCCCTCGACAGCTGTTTAAACTACCGTACGGATGTCTTGATGGCGGGTCCTGTTGTTTACCGCCGGCCAGCTATTTTTGTAGATGAGCCTTAGCTGCTTTTCTCCACACATGTCCGCGTCGAGTATAAGTTCCAGCATCGCTTGGAGATATTCTGCAGTTGTCTTTGACTCGCCCTGAAAGCGTTGTCGCGCGTTTTGTCGCCACCACGCTACATGGGCGGCGGCTAGGTACGCTTCCAGCCGTTCCGCGCGGAACTCGGCCCATGGCTGAGACGGGTTTCGCCTAGTGCGATCCCACGTCAGTGCCGCGCCCTCCAGGATGTTGGGTAACATTGGCACCAAGTTATCCAGCGGTTCCCCGCTCACTTCTGCTTTCTCCTCCAGCCTGCGCAAGAATGCTCGTGGGTCCCCGCTGCCGTCGAAATGCACGCCGCATTGCTCGATGCTCAGAGTTGTTACCCTGCTCATTACCATTGCGCACCACTAAACGTTCCATCAACCATGTCTCATACCGCATCGTCGCGGTTGGACTTAACCTCACTGTTCGCACTCGTGCGTGGTCCTGATGAATTAAAGTTGATTGACGCTTGTGGTCCTACTGGTGTTTGCTCAAAGCGGATCCTCGTGGTCCGGTTAAATTTTCCACCCAACACATTTAACCTTTAACCACTTGTGGTCCAATTGATTAAAGACACTTGTGGCCCTGCTGCCTATTTGCGTCGCGTTGATGAGATGTCATATACTCATTCGCGTCGCAACACTCATTTTATTCTTATAACGGAGCTCTTCAACATTTAATGTGTGGGCCCCACAAATTGAATAGTTATGTCCTAATGTTGCATTTTAATGGTGGCTGGCCTTCAGTGGCCAAAGTCGTTTGAAATACTCCGTACATATGTGTAGAATAATTATGCGTGTATGTGTGTGTCTGTGTATGTCTCGTGTGCCTATGCAAAGCAGTAACAACAACAACAGCTGCGGGCACTGATTGGTCATACATACATATATGGCTATAACTTCCTGTTAAATAGGCCTATCATGATGAAACTTAGCATACAGATTATGGAAAATCACTAATGGCGGTGGACAGAGGGAAGGGAGGGAAATTCCCCAATACGCATTTTCTGTGTAGTCACATAAGGCATCTTGGACTAAAATTTGGTGGCCTTAGGTCTCCGAGATAAAGACGATTATATGAATGGAAAATCGGGAAAACCCCCATGGGGGAAATAAAAAAAAAACTTTCACAGCGTATACACATAAGCCATCTTTGTGGAAAGTTTGCTGTCTCTACCTGTTATAGTCTCTGAGATCGAGGTGTTCATACGGACGGACAGACAGACAGACACATAGGTAGACAGACAGACAGACTGGGCTAGATCGGCTCGTCTTGTCATGCTGATCAAAAATATATATACTTTGTGGGGTTTGCCACGCCTGTTACATTTTTCACCTCCCGTAAACCTAATATACTCCTGTACATTTATAGTAATGTACAGAGTATAACCAGAATGGATAGCTAAGCAAACTTTGCAATATTTAAATAACAGACGAACTGCGCCGACCTTCCCTACAAGCAATATTGCAGAAGTTTCAAAAATTACGTACAAAAAAAGGAGGCTTTTATAAGAAATTGCTTAGGTACTTTGAAGCGAAAAAGTTCATATCCGTATCGTAGATGAGCAGAGGTTGAAGGGTTTCTGTTGTTCTGTTTCTGACACAAATGCATTAAACGTTGTCAGGACTCGAAGGGACTGGTAAAAAGGCACTACCAAAGAATGACGCACAATTACTACGTCACAATAAAAAAGTTAGAATAAGTGCCATTCATTGTTATTTGGACTCATAATACCTGAAAACAAATCGCTTATCCCAACGATGATCAGATAATTAGCATTTTTGCAAGTGTATAAGTATAATATCAGTAAAAAGAGTATGGCAAGCAGCTGGCACTATCACACATCATTATTTCTCGTTGTCCGGGCATACCGATCAAGACGTCGAGGTGATGAGAAACATCCTTTTCCTCTGGTTGTAACTCCTGTAATTCTGTCATGTCAAATATGCATAGAGTATGTACGCTGAATATATTTTCTGTACTGTTTTTAATTTAAGTTGTAATTTGAATTTAAATTCAATTGAATCTACTCTTACTTGACCTTAATATTCGCCTATTTCGCCCCTATGGTGCCATTTATAGGTTATTTCAGTTTCAAATGAACAAATTTACAAAAACAGTAATATTACATTTAGTAAAATACTAAAGAGAGTTCTGGACAGATAACATTTGAATTAATGTAATGTAAGACTAGTATGTGACATTTTTTTCCTAAGAAGATAAGTTTATTTAAGCATTGTGTAAATCTACACCTGCGTATTACCGGCAGGTAACACGAATCATTGATGAACAGATGTCAATTAGTTTTTTTTTTAGTTTTTAATAACATTTGGTTCTTAATTTTCATAAAAAAATATATTTAATATATCTATTATCAAGGTACCGACTGAATCCAAAAATTGCCTTGGTAACAAATGTTTTTTTATTCATATTAGATATAACTAAATGCTGTATTTATGAGATTAAATTACATCACTCGCGCGGTGCTGATATCATGTAATACTATTATATTTTCTTAGCATAATAACATGCATACCGTATGCGACTCAAGTGCACACAATTTTTCATTATCGATCTTCAGGGAGCGCCACGAAAGCAAATAAATATATAAGGGCTCTTAACGTTGAGAATGGGGTTGATAATTGCATAATTATTATCTAATGACATTTTTCGGATTATTGGGATGCTAAATTTTACATTACGTTTTGAATACACAGTCCCGCCTAAGATTACACCGTTCTCCTTTGCACGAGATTTGACATACGGGGATCGCACAAGCATTCAATGTGTTGTTGGTAATGGGGATTTGCCACTTATATTTACCTGGCTGAAGAATGGAGAGCCGCTATTGACTGTACCTACAGAGACCAACGGAGGTGATTATACTAGTACCTTTATTGCTAAATTTGGTTCGATGTCTTCGGACAATTTTAGACACACGCGGACAAATAATTCTTAATAAAAATGTCCGAAGCAATGGTGACGAACTCGGGAAAGTGACGATTCGGCAGAATGATGATTTCACTAGCGCTCTCAGCATTTCAAGTGTAACGAGGGCCCAAAGTGGTACATATACGTGTCGTGTACAAAATGATGCCGCAACTGTAACGCATTCTGCACTGCTTGAAGTAAATGGTACTTGCAGTGATTTTTTCAATTATATAATTAAAATATTTGATTGTTTTCCTTGTACTTTAGAAAAGGTATTTGTTACGTTTTCAAAAAAAAATTTTTTCATTAAACCTAAATATAATGAAATGAATGTACCTGTTGAATTATTTCCAGTTGGCAAAAGTTTTTGATCAATTATTTATTTATTTAATAATAATTTAACGTAATTAGGAGCGGAAAAAGATTTGCTCCATCTTAACGCAGATAATATAATATTTATTTTTTCCTCTATTTTACCAAAAAATTAAAGTAGATATGTTCCTACGTATTTTTTTTTTTTCAATTATATACAAATATACCTCTATTTCATTATTTATTATTGTTGTTAAACCATTTAATTTGTAGTTTAGCTATTATTTTGATATATTGTACATTTACATACATACATGTACAAAAAAGTAAATACACTTCTAGAATAAAACCTACAGCTTTGAAAAGTGAAGGCTTTATTTATTTTAAATTTGCCGTGATGTGTATTTGTGGACAAGTTGGCAAATATTTTATGCAGGGACTTGAATCGAAATATTTTAAGTGAAAAACAAATTGGAAGTAAATATACAGTATTTATACTTGTATATATAGTATTTATATGTATAGTATTATTATTGATATATATCTATCAAGCTGCCCTGCTCCATTTTGCTGTGACACATTGTGGTTACATCGTATGTTTTAATTAAGTTTAATTTTGCAACACTTGTGGGTATAGGATACACAATTCCAAAGGTTGGCCTTGAGCATTATTGATTGTGATTACGAACGCAATTGTAGTCTGTTAAATTATAATGGTGCATTTAGCGGGACCATGGGACTTCGAGGAATGAGGCGGACATTTTTAAATCGACTCGTATTGTCACACTGATCAAAAATATATTTGCGCGGTGTTCATATAATACAAACATTTTTAATTTGCATGACGAAATAAATCGACTTAAACATGTCCGTCTGTCTACATCAATGATGTCCACAATTACAAAGCAATTAAACTTTTCATACTCAATTTAAGTATAATTCTTTACCTTTGTTTAAATTTCACCTAAATCGACGGACAGACAGACAGTCAGCGCTAGATCGACTCGTCATGTCATGCTAATATACTCTTGTACATTTCATGTACAGTGTATAAAAATAAAACAAATAGCACAAAAAAACAATAAACGAATTTGTGATAGCAAATATTTTCTTCATTGTTTATTCATACATATCTCCCATGGGATTTGAACTCACGTAAAAGGTGTATTACATGAAAATTGTGTCTCTGTGTTTCTATACGTAGCTGTGCGTAGGTATTTGTGCAGTACAGCGTTGTGCCAAGGTAGCAACAACAACAACAGCTGGGGCAGTGTTTGTGTACTAAGAACATTTACGGATATGACTCCCTTTAAAGTTGACCTATCAAGTACGCACACATGACCACTAATCAAAAATAATTGTCAAATTTGAGTAAAAAATTCAATGAATTACGGGAGCTATGGACAATCAATTATAGCGGGGATATGTTTACAGGATATCAAAACATTTCCAGGTTTATGTTGACATCCTTATACCTGTGGTGAAGGGATTCTAAATCTTCAATCAACTGATTTTGAAGGTAGGCGAAGAGGGAGCGCCGTATATCTTTTTGAACTAAAAGAATGATGGTAATTGTTGTAGATGTAGAAGCTTTGAGGGCGATTAAGATAAGGCAATATTTGACAAATCGTTGAATTCATATTACCAATGCTGCTGACACTTTTTAGAGTAGATAAATATAAAAAGTTTGTTGGTTCTGGGTTGTGCGTATGCTGTTTCTTTTTGTATAGTTACTGCCTCTGCTGAGAATATTAGCCAATATATTCCGAACCAGTTCGATTCTTCGGCAAAAAGTCGGCTGAAGGACTCCCCACTTATACTCTCTTCGAAAGCCCTTGAGCGTTGTAGGAATAGACGATGCCTCCTAGAAGCCAGGGAGCAACCGGAGATTTTATATGTAACTGCTAGTGAAATATTATTGCGCTGTTTTGAGATGGACGCACTTCGACGAAGGGTAGAAAAACATTTGAATTCCCTACGTTATTTTCCTTTACCGCTTTTCGCTTTACGTTTTGCAGCAGCATTTTCGATCAGTTTAGCAATTTTTGAATTCAATGGTTTGGCAATTTAATACAGATATTACCTCTGGTCCTGAGGCACCTTACCGCTGATGTGGATGAGTTCAAGACGGCACCTGTCTCAGCGTTGAGAGTAGATTGCAACGCTCTGCCACTGATGCGTTGGTGGACACCGGAGCTAAGAGCAGCTTCGTTAGCCCACATACCAGTGAACTAGGAGACGAGAGTGAAGACAACAAACAGCTGGGTCGCAAGACAGTCTGAAGACATCGACGAGTTCACGTTGAGGCTGGACTCCGTTCACAAGTAATGGAACAGTAACAGTGGACAATGATAAAACTGCAAGATTCGCTTTGGGAGCATCGAAGGAGTGTCCTCATAGTAACGCACACTTTCCGTTTGAATGATAAGTGACAGCACTGCTTCCCTCGGATTTCCGCGCAGCAAGTTGTGTAAATCAGGAGGTCGATGGGCTGCTTGAAAAAGCCTGCATTTAGCGCTCGTACAGCGCGTAAAGCGCGCTCATATTGCTGTTGGCATGGCGGATGCGCATCGACTATCGGCAACTAAACGAGTGCTCTGAGCCTCATGCGAATTCCATTCCGTGGGTCCAACACACTCTCAAACAGCTGCGGAAGGCAAAGTATATTAGTCACATCAATTGGCATTCGACCTCCACTCCTCACCAGCAACGTTCCTGGGCACTGGCCAGCGCCATCGGCCACATATTGGCATCATTGCGAATCTTGATGACATAGTCGTGGTGGCTAAGACATTCCTAGAACACTTGGACAACTTGCATGAGGTGTTTTGATGATTGCGTGCTGCGAACCTGCGATCGAACCAAAATAAGTGGAGAAGCTAAAGTCGGGTGTCCCAACTTTGAAATATTCTGTAATATGTACATAATATGTGTAGAATAAGTATGCGTGTGCATGCGTGTTTGTGTGTGTCTGTCAGGCATTCATACGGACAGACGGAAAGATGGACAGACAGACGGACAGACAGACAGACAGTCAGAGCTGGATTGACTTGTTTTGTTATACAGATCAAGAATATATATTCAGCTCGTGCAACGCAGCCTTGCCAGAATCTAAAACGTGAGAATAATGCATCACGCAGGTAGACGGGGCACACTGTATGAGATAGCCGATTCTTAGAGCATGGGTCTCAGAGCCAGGTGATCGCGCGTCACAGCGAGTCATTACGAGAAAATATGATGGTGAGGGGAGTAAGAGTAATCATAGCTGTAAGCATACAAAATGGAGCTTATATCAGATTATGGTCATGTCCTCCATAAAGGCTATGATAACGTGGCCTTCCGAGCTGCTTGAACGGCACCCCGTTGTCGAACTTGTGGTCGGCGAACTGTTAACTGTGAGAGAGTTCTTTATTTTAGAGACTTGGTATAGGCACGTTGGACATTCGATAGCGACGATAGGTCGAACAATTGTCTTAGAAAAGTTTCTAATGAACTTAGGGAATTAACATCATGTCTGCCAGTTGCTGAGTGCGTACTGATTGCCTTGTCTCTAGGGAGGGCCTTTAGCCGGCTGGTAAAGGTGGACCTGTTTGTTGTCTTGACTTCGTTTTTTCATTTGTGAAGCTTGGTTTAAAGGAAACTCTTCTGCTTATGGAACAGATCGTTTATTTCGTCCTTCGGGGATGGCAGGGTTCCTTTTTGGTATAATTTTTATTTGGCTTTGATGAATTCATGTTTATGTTCCCACGAGTGTCGGAGACCAACATCCATATACCCGGGTTGTATTTTTTTTTTTTTGCGACAGCGCCTCTAGCCAGGCTGATCATGACATCTTGATCCAGCCCTCATTTCGTAGCCATGATCAAGGATCATTACCCGACGATAAGTAGTAACGTTGTGTCTTGATTTCTGATATCAGCTGGACACCGTCCACCAAAAATATATAATAATAAAAATAATTTTTACTTTCTTTAAAAAGTACATTAACCAAATAAAATAAGATATATTCAACACATATGATGAGACGTATATTTATGTACAGTTTCAAAGCGTACATTCTGCCTTTGTCTCTGTCTCTGCATATGTGTGTGCGTGTATATGTGCAGTACTTAATATGTAACTGCCAATTTTGGCAAGAGCCAAGGAAAATCACTAAAAGCAGGGGAGACAATGGGTGCATCAGGGTTGAATCTGGTTACCAAGTTCGGTTATTCTAACATTTATACTTTCTGAGATTCTTGTATTTATACAGATATACAAGTAGATAGACGGACGGGCAGATGGACTTGGCTATATCGACTCGTCTTGTGATACTTATCAAGAATATAAATACTGTGGAGGTTTGCCCCTATCTGTGTGTTACATACATTCGCACTAAGCTAGTGTACTCTTTCACCTTTTGGATACAGGGTATAAAAACCACTCCTGTCAATTCTATATTCAATGGCAGATTCGTGTTCACGTCTGCCTAAAATATTTAAACATAATCAAACAATCGCCTTTTAAATTAAACATTTTTCACAATAAATTAGAGTTCTAGAAATTATCTAAAATCTCCACATAATTACAAGTGCTAGTTGCGATGGATTTGAGAAAAAATTGAGGACTCAGGTGTCTTCCTAATATTATGTTACATTAAGTTTTTAAGGCAATATAGGGGTGGCAGAACTTTTTTCATTTATATTTATTACTACACAGATTTTGTAAGAAATTAAGGAAATTATTTTGTACAAATTGATTTGATTATAATCTTAAATAAATGTCTTTGTTTTGTATAGTTCCTCCGCGAATATCGCCCTTTGCATTTGAGGATGAAATTACTGAGGGAATGCGAACACAAATAATGTGTTCCAGCAGCCAAGGCGACCAACCATTTAATATTACTTGGCTTAGAAATTATACACCTATTAAAAATAATGCAACTAAAATGATAGAAACAACGTCTACAGGATCAGGCAATCAATTTATGCTTGCGGATTCATCACTGACCATCAATGAATATGCCCCCTTTTCTAGCATATTGTCCATACATAACGTATCATCGCGCCACAATGGCAACTATACCTGTCGTGTGACAAACCGTGCAGGTTTTGTTGAACACACAGCTGTTCTCTTGGTTTCTGGTAATTCAAGAGTAACTATTTCCATACAGAAAGAGTGAAATTAAACTATTCAAAAATACTTTTATACATATTTGTATGTATCATGCACATCACAAGAGCACTTAAATAGCAATAGAAAATGCACCCAATTAATGTACTCGTATGGCACTCAGTTTGTGGTATGTTAACACTGAAAACATGAGACAGGCAGATAATATGCATAACATTATAGTTGCTATTGTATAGACTTTTTCTTATTTTTTGGTAAAGTATGAAATAATACGCCTAAAGTTAAATATGAGAGCAATTATATCAATGGGGAACATCTCATTTTTCTCAACCGCGTGGACCGGAATAGGAGACAACTGAGCGCCAGTAGATCTTTATGTTTGTATGTATGGGTTTGATGGGCTTGGGACACAATTAAATGTAAAGAGGTCAAACGTATGGAGTATTGTTTTTTCTGCAGCATACAAATCCAGAGAAACATCGTACATCATGTTACACAATTCGTAAAACCACGATTTGTATTTGGCTGCCTAGTTATGTGGCAGGTTCATGCAGCTTTTCAATTTGTGAACATGATAACAAAATAAAACACTAATACACTGATAGCCGCATGAGCAATTTATTACTAAGATCATGGCATTAGTTTTGAGTATATGCGGAGAAAATGTGTTTAGGTAAATCGCAATGTAAAATTATTTTTAGCTACACCACCTAATTCATGACCTTGCAAAGTATTCTTTGGTAGCATTTTAAGACTTTATAAAACGCGCGGAGTGACATCCATATCTGCATGAGAAATAATTATAAATCAAATAACAATAAGTGCTTATACAGCATAAAGAAATAAAATATTATGTTAAGGAGCACTTTGCATAAGTTCACAAATCCTGTCACGATTATGGCACCTTGAAGATAATAATGTAGAAAAAGTAATTTTTAAAAATAAAACAATGAATTTTTAATGACCGTTGGAATTGATTTGAAGAATATTTTTTTGTTTTTCAAGGACTACTTATTACTATTATGACTTTCAGATGTATCTCATAATGATGTAATATTATTTTTTTTACCAAAATAAATAATATATAATTACAAATTGAGATAACTTTTTTTGTATCATAATATCAGAAAATATTAAAATTTGTGCGTATCGATTTAGAACAAAATTGTTATTACCATTTTTATACTATTTTTATACCACTACATAGCTCCCCACTACCTTCTTTGGTATGGCTTAACCCAAAAGGTAGAGTTGGGTAAAACAATTGGCACATGCACACTCGCACACCATATACTCGTACTTACATTTATGCATGAAATATTTTTGCTTGTGATAATTTTTAAGGAAACTCCTTAAGATATACATTAACCACGATATATTGTATTTAAGAATACAACGAAATAAGTTGTAAAGTAGATATATTTGATCGGCGCACGTCGTTTTTTACGTAACTTAAAATAATAATATGTACTTGTTTCTGAGCAATGAGTAAGTATTTATATTTAATTTATATAAAATGTTTAAGAAACATGAACATTTTGTTGCACGGATTTCATTTGTTATTGTGAATTATTATGTTATACATAAAATAACTATAAATATTTAATAATCCTAATAAATATATCAATTAACATATATCCGGAAATAGTGCCTCCTCGGTGGATTTTAAAACCAACTGATCAAGATGCAATTCTAGGAAATTTAGTCATTATAACATGTAAAGCTGACGGATTTCCAGTGCCTGTCATTCAATGGAAGCAGTCAATTGGTATGAAATATATTTACATTTAAAAATACAGCCTACTTAATGGAATAAAACTTTTAAAATACAGGCAACTCTGATTACCGGGAGATAAGCCGCAATAGAAACTTGCATTCAAGCTTCGAAATTCACAATAACGGCTCATTAATAATACCTAAAGTCGATAGAGAACATGAGGGTAGCTATTTATGTCAGGCCAGTAATGGCATTGGTGCTGGATTAAGTACTCTTATAAAATTAACCGTTCATGGTAAGTTTTTTCAATTATGACCTTACGTTTTATCTTGATATAAGCAACACCATTTATATATTATTTTTAAATAAAATATATTATCTTTCTGGAGTGTGTATATTCGAAATTTCTTAGTTAAACATTGAAAAATCAATGTCCAGCATAAGAAATCAGAGTCTCGCCAATGCTGTCATAGCTGATGGTTGATTTTGCTTGCCTACTTGCAAGACGTTAGCCCTTGCCGTGCGCGCGGCTGCCTAAGTGATCTTATCTCGTTTCGTACTGATTCTGTTTACATTTCTTTACACAGAGAATGCAATTTTAGACAATTGCATAATTTTATGGAAGTAAAATTATAGCTAATTTTTGGAATGGATAATAAAACACCCACTTCTTCACAGCAGAACACTCTGCTGCCCGATTTTGAACGTATGAGACATATTGCTGGTTCAATACCCTCGGAACTACGCTCTGAAATACGAGCCTTGATTAACAAAAGCAAATCTCAAACTGCATAACCACAAGCAGCAGCTGGGATCACACAACATGCAGTACTACATGCACTCTGACGTCGACAAGCTCCAGCTGCGCGTCTTCATATACCATTATAACATCCTTAAGTGGCAGTGTGTGCTCCACTTCAAGCTTTTTGGCATCAAATGCAGCTTTTTGTACCCCTGCAGTATAAAAAGAAGAAGACACTAAGCTGGCAGACCCCCAAAACTAAACGCAATGTGATTAGTTCGCCCAAGCAAGGTAGGAAAATAAAAAACGGTTGCTTGATTCTCATGCAGTGACGACCACTCCCCCCAAAGAGGGCCCATCAACTTCAAGAAATAAATTCGCACTGCTGGAGGAGGATCATGATCCAACGGAGGCTGAAATCGCCCATGCCGAGGGGCTCGCTGAGTATATGGAAATTGAGCAAGCCGATGGCAATAAAGAAACCGTAACCAGATCGAGGAAACCACCCCCCCTATCAACATCGAGGATGTATGTGTCCCTTATGGAGGCTTAATTAAACGTGGTACTTGGCACCAGCGAATATTCTTACCACTTCGGCAAGAGAGGCAAAGTGAGATTTCAAGTAGAGGACTCTTCCTCTTATCGAAGTCTAGTTAAGTTTCTCAAGGAAAAGAAGGAGAAGGATAATAAGGAGGCACTCCAAATTAAACAAATTGGGCGTCAAAGGGTCATAGTTGAGATATCCAAAAAACAGACAACTTGGACACACACAACCAGGAACAGAATTGGCAACACATAAACACAAACCATAGCACGAGGCTTGAGTCGGCCATTGAGGCCCTCACAGCGAAAGTTGACACTATACAAGCCATGTTTAAGGAACTGCAGGAGACGAATCACTTCTTTAAGCAAATGTGTTTAAGTCTTTTGAACGCCAAAAAATTATGACACGCACGCATGCACGTGGAATTTCTGGACATGTTGAGGGACTCAAGCTGTTTCTCACAGAACATAACATAGACGTGATGCTCATCACTGAGACTTGGCTACAGGAGTGCATCTGCGTCTATGTTCCGGGCTACAATATCCACAAAGTAGACCATCCCAGCAACAGACTTAGAGGAGGACATATCAGGACATATCGTACTTCCCTTGTAACCCGGTGAAGACTGCACATTTACAAATGGCTACTATTTAAGTTGCCACAAGCTCGGGAGATTTTGTTGTGTAGTCTCTCTACCTCCCTCTAAAACAAGGTCAGAAGCAGACTTCAGCCTGATATTTAGTAATAGTAGCGGACAGGGTATATTGCAAAGTAGCCAATAGGGTAAAGAAGCTGCTGGTACTACACAAGCAGAACAAAAATGACAAACTTTTTGCTAAAGCTTCCACGGATGCAAGCTCAAGGCATTCACTGTGGACTTTGGCTAAAAGGTACAAGCAGCAAGTGACTCTAAAGTTTCCAATAAAAAGGCCTGATGGATCCTGGGCTAGATTTCCAAAAGAAACAGCTGAGGCTTTTGCACTGGACTTGGAGGCACGGTTCCAGCCATATAGTACCAGCTCAACAGCCACACAAAACGAAGTGTAACTGGCGCTCGAGAGTCCGGAACAGCTATGTCCCCCAGTTGCTCCCATTACAGTAGAGGAAGTCACTGGACACATAAAAGGGCTGAAAAGCATAAAAGCATCATTTGAAGATGGTCTGGATAATTATACCATCAAGGCGATGCCAGCCAAGGCCGTATTGTTCTTGGTGCTACACAGTACTAAGACTGTGCCATATTCCAGCCCCCTGGAAGAAAGCGGGGATTTGTATGATCCATAAGACTGACAAAAGCCCTTCTTCCATGGATTCATACAGACCAATCAGCTTACAGCCCATAATAGCCAAACTTTTCGAGCGATGCCTGCTGAAGCGACATTTGTCCTTAAAAGAAGTGACAAATAAAATCCCTCCTTTTCAATTTGGGTTCCGAAAATCCCACGAAACACCAGAACAATTGAAAAGGGTAGTTAATTTCAATCTTGAGGGATTTGAGGCTAAGGAGTACGTGGTGGCGGCGTACTTGGACATAAGGCAGACCTTTGACAGAGTCTGGCACAATGGCCTACTAGCCAAAATTAAGCCAATGCTGCCTCCTCAACTGTTCTGGATACTACGGATCTACCTCGCAGACAGGACCTTCACGATGGTGCTGGATGGAGATGAATCTAGTGTCAGGGGTATTAGAGCTGGAGCAGATGACACAGCCATCCTGGGTAGAAACAATAGTATCTTTGAAGCCACAGATATTATGCAGCAGTACCTAGAGAGCTTCGAAATGTGGGCAAATCGTTAGAAACCGCACTGCCCGCTGCTGTTGTTGTTGTTGCTGCTTTTGTTCAACTTTGTGCTGCATACATACATGCATATAAACACGCATAGACACGTGATGTAAATGTATGCTGTTAAAACGGAACATAAACATGTCTTCTACATATGTACTTGTATATATTAAATAAATTTTTATAGCCTGTACCCAAAGGGTGAAAGGCTATACTAGTTTTGTGCGCATGTATGTAACACACGGAAGGAGGCGTGGCAGACCCCACAAAGTATATATATTCTTGATCAGGATGAGAAGCCGAGAGCTAGAATAACCAAACTTGGTTTCCATATTCTCCTAAGACCGAGAAAGTACGAGTTTAAGTTTTTTTTCGATGCACCCCCCACTCCCCCGCAATTCGTGTTTTTTCTTATAACTTCCGTAATTCTCGGAATTTTGAAATCAATTTTGGTAGGTACATCCAGTTAGTACTAATGTGTCCGTATGCCAAATTTCATCATGATAGGTCAATTCTAAAGAAAGTTATAGCCATAAGTAAGCCTCTGTCGGCAGCGCTGCCCGCAGCTGTTGTTGTTGTTGCTGCTTTGGTTCAACTTTGTGCTGCATACATACACGCATATAAACACATAAACATGTATTCTCATTTAATTAAATTAATTAATTCATTCATTCATTTTTTTTTAAATTTAATATTTTTTTTTTAATTTTTTTTAAAATTTTTTTTTTTTTTAATTTTTCTTTTTTGTGGAGAGTACAGGCTATTTTACTGTCGGGCTTGCTCGACTGTAGCGTTCTATCTTGTTTTTATTAATTTCATTTTAAATTTTAAATATATTTTTTTTAATTTTCCTTTTTAATTATTTCAAATTTTTTTAATAATGTAATTTTTATACTCTGTACATGAAATGTACAAGAGAATTACGGTCACACAGACGGACGGACGGACATGTCTAGATCGATTTTTTTCGTAGGGTTGGAGATCTTGCTTCTGCAAGTTCGCTCTTCTTCTTTCTTTTTCTTCTGCTAGAGGCGCATATATCTCAGTGTTGGAAGTTTACCTGGGTACAGGATATTTGATAGTTGAGCCTGCTCGACTTTAGTACCAACAACCTACCGTGGACCTTTTCCAATAATAGCTTTAAGCTTTCCCACTTTGTATTGCGGGGGTTTCTAAATGATGTTTTCAGTTGGGTATGTTTTTGTAATCAGAGAAGGATTATTTGTCTTGGACTCTCCATTTTAATAGTTGAAAGTTCGAGGAGGCTGGTCCACGCTGCTTGGTGTGCGCTGGGGTCTATCCCAACTATATGACATCATAAGGCTGTAATAAGAAATTAGGAAGGAATAGTTACTCATTCTGCGTCATTTTTCTGTTGGCGTCGTTATCGTTGATGGAGAGTTATAGGCACTTTTTGCCACATGGCTGGCCATCTCCTGATGTTTTTGCATTTAGCAGGGCCGGTTGCCGTGGCCGGTTGCTCATGGACCTTATTGGTGATATCATAAAATCTAGACACAGGAAACAAAATTTTACTCTTTTTAGCCGGCTGCCAATAGCTTATGCGTATAAATGCAGATTACATTTAATGCTATAACTATGTTCCAGATTGGCCTATCACGATGAAATATAAGAATATATAAGGTTTGTTCAAAGTGAGGTTTTCGCGAGCTGAAAAGTGTAACAGGCGGGGCCCGTCCGTATAAACTCCTGGATCTCAGACACTATAAGAGCTGGAGATACAAAATTTTCCACGAATATGTCTAATGTATGCAAGTTTGTTTTATTTATTTTGATTCCTCCGATAATGGGGCTTTTCCGTAACGCCGTTCGTATTATCACCTATATCTCGGGGACCATGAGATCTAGGGACAACAAAAATGAGTTCAAGGTGCACTATATATACGCAGAAAATGTGCATTTCGGAATTTCCCTCCCGATTTTATTTGATTTCGATGGACATTTTTATTTATCCGAATCACAAATCACAGCGGTCAGCAGGTGAAATCAGTAACGATCGATCACAAATCGGAAATCGCTACGACCTGCTGAACGCGCCCAATATAGCAATATATGTACTTTCTGGCCAAGCACTGCCCGCAGCATTATTCTACACATATGTGCAGAGTATTGCAAAGTTGAGACACCCGGCTTTAGTTTCTACACTTGTTTCTTAATGGAAAGACGAGTCGACTTAGCCGTGCCTGTCACAGATGCGTTATATG